TCAATTATGGGGTGGATTAATTTAAGTGGGTATGGATTAATTAAGGGGTATGGTTTAATTAAGGAATGTGGATTACCCAAAGAAAACCCTTTAAATATCATTTTTGCAGTGGGGGTGCTGTTGAGATCCGGCCCCAAAATGCTCTAGGTACGCCCCTGCATGTATGTCAGTATGAATGTATGTCTGTGTGTATGTGTGTATGGATGTCAGTATGCATGTATGTCTGTCTGTCTGTCAGTTTGTCTGTATATATGCATGTAAACCAGTATGAATATATGTCTGTGTATGTATGTATGTGTGTATGGATGTCAGTGTCTGTATGTCTGTCTGTATGATTGTATGTCTGTATGTATATATGTATATATGTATGTATGCCAGTATGAAAGAATGTATGTCTATGTGTATGTATGTCGGTGTATGTATGTGTATGTCCTGATGCATGTGAGTCTGTACGTATGTTAGTATGTGCCTGTCACTATGTATGCATGTGTGTCTGTATATGTGTGTACATCTCAGTATGTGTGTGTGTGTGTCAGTGTGCATGCCTATATGAGTGTATTGTTTTAAGTATTGAGCGTGTGTATCCACAACTCACAAAACTGTGAGAGTGGAACTCACATAGGTCAGAATGGTGGTTCCAGATACACCAAATAGAGGGCCTGTACCCGAAATAGAATATATAAATAAAAAATGACAAAGTCTCAATAAAAATGAGACTAAGAACTGTTTTTTAAACAATATAAGGAATACTTAATACATATTGTAACTTTAAGAAACCAGCACTGAGCATTAGTAAGAAAGATTGTCCATTAATCTATAATATGGTATATTGTATATTTTATATATAGATACCAAACAAGTGCCACAAAAATTAAATAAAATTAAAATACCTTATTGGGATTCTATAGAAAGACAAAATGGCACTATAGATGGACTATCAAAATCAAAATTAGTGAAGTAGAAAAAAATGGATCAAATATCTATGGAGGGGAGGACCAAAACCTAAAATAGGAATATGATATCTAACCTCAAAACAATGAGGTAAAAGTTGATAGTCATAGAGGCAGACAGTCAAAACGTCAAATAAGGGGATATAAATATATAGGTGTCAAATAGATCTGCCCTATTACTCCTATATTGGAGTGTTCTATACTGAGCACTCAATATTCTGTGCTGTCCCCAATAATATATTAAAAGACAAAAAGCCCCCCAATCAGGAAAATTGGACAGAACAGCATATACAAAAGGAGAAAATATAGAGCAGAAAATATAAACCAGCATTCCCTCCCATACACCTTATAAGCCCCCCAAATCAAGTTCAAATACGAAAACAGCGACTGGGCCTTTTTAGCTGATCGAATGCTAGCATAGGTAGCAAATCCTTGCAACCAATTCCCAAAGGTATGGGGGAGCTGCTTACCTTTGTCGCCCTCAACCGCATCACACCAACGCGGTCTATCTGCCAACTCCTTATCGAATTGGACCAAGGAGAGTAGGTCCACATACTCACCCTTAAGTATCTTTTCTCTCACATCCAAAGACACATGTCCCGCTGAAGTACTCACTCACCTGTACCTGAAGGGGAAGCCCCAGAGGGAAGCACCGAGCACTGCGTGTCGCCCCAACAGTCCTCACAGGAGCCAAGCAGTAAGTGCAGAAATTGCACTGTTTCTCCTTGACTCTCCCCCACTAGCCCTGAGTCCTCCCCTAACCCCTGCAAAGCACGAGCACACTCCAACTCACGGTTCAGGAGAAGGGGTCTCTAATTCCTTCATGCTGAGAGTGTGCTGCAGCCCGCCTGCCTGCTGTTCTGCAAGGGGAGCGGCGGCTCGCATCCCTGGGAGTTCTGATTTGTGCATGCCTGGCATGTTGAGGGCAATCCTGCGGAATCCTGCGTCTCTCCCTGGTGCTCCCTGGCCTCTGGTCCAGAGGCTGGCAAGATCCTCCGCCGGCCTGCTACCACCCACTGGCATGCCCAACTTGCCAGGGGCTAGCAGTGCTCCTCCTCCAATTCCACACTCCAGGGCTTTCTGGGACTTCCGGGTTAAGCAGGGGCCTGTGACATCTGCATTCCAGGACGTGCTGACGCGTGACGCACACACGTGCGCCAACTTCACTTCTGCAGCTGCCAGAAGAGAAGAGTGAGGACTGCGGGACCTCACCTCTGGCGCCATCTTAGAGACCGCCATCTTGCCGCCCAGGCCCAGCCTGGCCCCCTGGCCACCAGCGGGCCCGACGTCCACTCCTGGTATGCACCTACTGCACTGGCCCCTCCTGAGCAGCCTGCCCGCTATGGACACTGGAGTAGCGAGTAAAAGGATTCAGCCACATGGGTCCTCTGGAAGGCCTGCAATAGTGTGAGCAGGGCCTCCCTAGACACATCAGGGGGTTGGGCCATCCTATGCTGTATCAGTAGAAGATAAAAGTGATTTCTGTCTAATTTACTAGTTTTTATTTATTTAGGAAAACAGCACTGAGTTGTTCCCTCAGCGTACTCTCCAGTGGTAAGTCTTTTCCAGGTGTCCCCAGTCCAGGTACATCCCCAACATTGTATCCTTCTTGTCGCCTTGCCAACCTCTCCGTGCAGCAGTCATTCTCCCCCCCCCCCCCTTATTTATTCCGGGGGTTGGCCTGTACTAAAACGGTGTGTAACTAAATTATGAAAATAATCGCTATATTTAGTTCTGTTTTAGTATTTCAGTTAATGGAGAAAAAACAACAACTTATAATTATAATTTAAAGTTACTTAACCCTTTAAGGACACAACTTCTGGAATAAAAGGGAATCATGATGGAATATTTCCGTCATGTGTCCTTAAGGGGTTAAAGGAATGCCAGAGCTATAGCCAAACAGAATCCAGGACGTCAGAAATGCACCTGTACAACAGTACGGCTATAGTCAAAACAACCAGAAAGGAAAGCTAAACAGAACAATTCATTAAAGTGATTTTTTTAAATAAGGCATTATACTAAGGATAATGTAAATGAATGCTGAAGGGCACCACTGAATTTTAAAGTATTACAGTCTGTGTACTTGATGATAGAGTGTGATGATATTCAGCTGTAGATTGCTTTTGTGATGAAATCTTGCTTTGTTAACAATATACACAGCCGTATGACAAAGAGATGGAGAGCCTCCAAACCCCCATAGAGTCTAACATCTTTTACCTTAAACCCTGTCAGCAAGTTGGTGATTTGTTTACAGCACTCAATTTTAATAGCAGGATTAGTTCTAAAATGACTGGTTAGATTTATGTGAGGCATTAATGCATCTTAATGAACCATTCCGAGCTTCCCTTGGTTTTCAAAGATTTAAATATTTACCAATATTAAGATTGTGATGTGTCCTAGAATTTGTTAAAGCAACCCTTCTTTTTGTGCATTTCATGATAGAAGTTCAGGAGACAGACAGAGTATGAGGAAAAAGATGGAAGCTTCCGCAGCCATTTTGTTTATGCTTCTGACACTGCACTCCTACATCTCCTCACAACAACTAAAGAGGGACATTGTGGGGAGTATCTTTACCTGTGGCAATGGCTCCTTTGTGATGGGGATGTTAATCAACATAAAATTATCAGGAGTTTTTGCATACACATAAAGGGCTAACCCAATTGGATTTGGTGAGACAGAAACAGGAGATTGGGGTTTAGAATTAATACAGATTGTTGCATAAGAGGTGAACTCACAAGAGACATAAATAACATAAAATTTTCAAATGCACTCTACTACCTCATGTTTCTCTGACCCCAAAAACTCTGGCCAACTTAACTGACCATTAATGTATCTTCCCCGTGCATGTTCTTCTTGCCATTTACACTTTAAACTTTGATCACTGGTGAGGGATTGTATAACTGTGCTATATAGTATCATTTTTTAACTATTAAATTATGCATTATTCTTTTGATAGTAGTGTACTGTAATAAAAAAAAAAAAACAAAGGTGGAAAAATGTAGTGAGTCAAACATTTGTGACAACTGGATGCAGGGTTTTTGTGCACCTCTGTTAGGTGCGGACAAATAAGCCTCTCCTGTCTATACACTTATATCTCTTCATATTTCCCAGTAAAGGTGGGCTGAACATCATGGGAAAATAGTCTGCAAACATCAAGAAAAAAAACACATTTCCAGTTATCAGGCTGCCATCAGATATACTAGATAAATAATGGTTCAGGCACTCTGGGATAACAGAAATAGCAGTTTAATTGGGGCAAAAGCAGCAATGTTTTGACCATACAAGCTTGATAAAGACCCAGTAGGGTTGAAACGCTGCTGCTTTTACCCCAATAAAGCTGCTATTTCTATTATCATGGAGTGCCTGAACCATTATTTATTCTGCATAGCTTGGAAGGGAGGCGTGGCCAGTCCTAGCTTCAAAGCACTTGGGTTATTTGGTGATTGCGGTATCCAGTATGTCTCTACTATCAGATATACTGGGGTCCCTTATTCAGCTCAAGGCCTGGGATCCATGCCTCACCTCCAAATCCAACCACATGGCCAACCGCTGAAAGGAGTCAAATGGCGGTACAAACACACCACAAAATGGCGTAAAAAAAAAAAAAAACGGACCGGGAACCGTGGTAGCGAGCAAAAGCAGGGAAAGCCAGCAGAAATAAACAGATAATGGCGCAGGCTCTGAGCTCACAAAAAAAAAAAAAATAATAATAATCTAGGGAGCAGAGAACTGCACAAAAGTGAAAACGAAACAAACAAAAAAAAAACTGCCAAAAGGAGTCAAATGGCGGTACGAACACACTGCAAAATGGCGTCAAAAAACGGACCGGGAACCGTGATAGCGAGCAAAAGCAAAAGCCAGCAGAAATACAAGATCAGTGGGTGTACGTAATGATGGCATTCCCTTCCAATCATCAACCATTTATTCAAGCTGTGGTTCAATAGTTCCAGGGTCACACGATAGGAAGGAACTACCTACATTCTCTCAGTAGCATCTCACAGTGCTGTGTCATCAGCCAAAACAATTACTACAGAGTGGCAGTTCAAAAATGAATAGTAGGTTGCTACTAAACCCAGTGAAATTGTATTCTACTCTTCTCATAAATCCAGCTATTGCTAATGAATGATTGGAAAAGGACTGGAAATGTTAAGTTGTCCTTTGTTTTTATGCCTTAGCACTTTGCAGCATGTTTTACATTAACAGAATAAAAGAAAACAATAGCCATGGATGCAATCAGATTAACTGATATAAAATTGAAATAAATGAAGTAAACTAAATAACATAATGTATAGTCAAGAGGCAGAAAAAAAGTAATAATAAGTTAGTGTGAGAATGGAATCTGTTAATCCAAGTCTTTATCATTGCTGAGGGACCTGTCCAATGAGAAGAGTACAGTTGGGCTCACAAGTTTGCATACCCTGGCAGAAATTGTGAAATGATGACACTGATTTTGAAAATATGACTGATCATGTTAAAAATATATTTTATTGAAGGATAATGATCATATGATTCCATTTATTATCACTTAGTTGTTTGACTCATTTTTAAATCATAATGATAACAGAAATCACCCAAATGGCCCTGATCAAACATTTACACATCCTTGATAGTTCGGCCTTGTTACAAGGTGTATAAACGAAAAGGAGGAATTCTGCACTCTTCTTAGGATCCTGGTGCTACCAGACCTGGGGTTTGCTGCCCCTACTGTAATAGTTGAACACAATTGTAGTCCAGGCACTCAAGGATCAGTTAAGCAGCAGATTTATTTGGAAAAAAGTGCAACGTTTTGATCTCAAAGAGATCTTTCTCACTCAGCAGGCTAGATACAGAGACATGGGGAGCAGAAAAGAACTGTCAAAACACCTGCGTAACAAGGTAATGAAACTTTTTAAAGATAGACAAGGATATAAAAAGATATCCAAAGCCTTAAAAAGACCAGTCAGTACTGTTCAATCACTTATTAAGAAGTGGAAAATTCAGGGATCTCTTAAAAACCAAGCCAGTGTCAGGTAGACCAAGACAGATTTAAGCCACAACTCCCAGAAGAATTGTTCAGGATACAAAGAAAAACCCACAGGTAACCTTAGGAGAAATACAGACTGCACTGGAAAAATACATTGTGGTTGCTTCAAGGAGCACAATTCTTCAATACTTTCAGTTGGTATAGTTGCCCATTCGTCTTTGCAAAATGCCTCCAGGTCATGCAAAGTCTTTGGTCGTCTTTCATGAACAGCACATTTGAGATCTCCCCAGAGTGGCTCAATGATATTAAGGTCAGGAGACTGTGACAGAATATTCACCATTTTCTGCTGTAACCACTCGGGAGGGGGTGAACTTGGCCTTGTATTTAGAGTTATTGTCATGCTGGAAAGTAAGTCCAAGAGCATCCCATGCACAGTCTTCGTGTAGAAGAATGCAAATCATTCTTATAGCATTTTCTAATGACATTCTGCATTCATCTGCATTTATCCATCAATTTTCACAAGATTCCCCATGCCTTTAGAGCTCACCCCCCCCAAAACATCAGTGAGCATACCACAATGCATTACAGAGGGGATGGTATTCTTTTCATTATAGGTCTTGTTGACCCCACTCCAAGCATAGCATTAATATCAAAGCAAAGGATTTAAAACAGCAGTTTAAAGCAAAAGGATACCCCAAAACATGTCCTATAGGAGAGTGTTAGAGGCTGACAGCAAGGGTCTGTTAAAAGAGACTGATCCAAAATTGGTACCCAAAGATTCTGGGGGGACCATTAGCTTGATAGCCACGTACGATGCGGGATGGGAGATATGAAAAAAAATAAAAAAATCACTCCAACACTTCTGGCCCATTCTCACGGGTGGCAAGCACCTAAAATCAGTGCATGCCCCCAATATGACTATGACAGCACGTAGGGGAAAAAACCTCCGTGACTTGTTAGCCCCTAGTCACCTTCAACATTCATTAACATGGCTCCAGAAACCTTTAGTTGGCACCTTTGCATGTGGAAGGTGTGTACTGTGTAAACACATCAAAAGGGACTCTAAAAGTATCATGGACAGTGAGGATGTAAATGTGTTTAAGATCACAACCTTATTCAACTATAATACAGCAGGTATAGTATACTTACTTACCTGCAAATGCAATTGGGAAAACTTTCCGCCCTTTTAAGCAATGGATGAAGGAACACATAAGGTCCCCCAAAAACCCAGTGGATAACCCTATCTCAAGACACCTTAGGAAATGCCATGCAGGGG